GGATGGAAAATAAAAAAAAAACAAAAAGGCATAAAAATGAGACTATTGAGGTCAGAGCTACGTCTGCAGTTTAAGTCAATTGTCTTAAGTCATTTGTCTTAAGTCAATTGTCTTAAGTCAATTGTCTTAAGTCAACTGTCCGTCTTGTTCATTTGCCCGGGTTAAGTCATTGGTTTGAAAATACTTGTGCGCTAACCACCACATGTTCCCTTGCTCTCATCAGTCCAAAAGTATTCTGCTCCTGCCCAACACATGGGTATCTTTACTGCCCAAACGTTTCGCCTGCGTAGCAGCTCTCTTCAGTCGAATACAGGTGTACATAACAATGGGGATGGTAGAAGTGACTGTGTCGGCAATAAATACATCCAGGTACCTCACATGTGTCATATTCATTAACTTGTGGGAATTGTATGCCATTAATGACACATTCTCCATTCACTCCTGCATACAAACTCATCTATAACTTTAAAGTTACTTTCGGGTTACCGCAAATCATCGTACCTAATTCCTAACTCCTCGCACACACATAGATCTGTTTGTGACTTGATAATGGCTACTGCGTAGGCGAAATGTAGTTAATACTACATGTGTGACTTTCTCCTCACACCTAAACACGAACTTCTAGTGGCCACTTAACTATTTACAGCCTTGTTACCGCGTGCCAGTTCTCTCTTGTTCAGCTTTCTACAAAGCTTTCAGTATGTCAGTGACATACCTGTGACCGGTATCGAGGGGTTCTTTTACCCTCGCAGCCCAGTATGAGGTCACAGTTTCTTGATGAATCCTCATTCAACTAGGCTGTTGTTCCCCCGGAATAACCTCCAGGTAACCGGCCCGGTGGTCTACATAGCTATCACACAACTTGCTTGACCTGACACTTGTACCAGTGGTCCAGTTTCCTGTCGAATCTTTTGCCTTTCGCAGGTGTTTCTCTGGTTTCTAAGAGTCATAGATTAGTGAAAAAACTGTTAAGTAGAATCATGGAAGTGAATACTTTATAAAAGATTCAAAGTATACTAGGCAAGTACATGATTTAGAAAATTTGAATATTCTCTATTCTTAAGCAAGTACTTTATGCAGTTTTAAGAATATTGAGGAATACATACATAAATAACTCGAAAATGGGAGAAGCTCCTCTCTCCCATGTGCGGGTTATTTATGTATTGTTCCAGTACGGTATTGTGCGTTTTTGTTCTTTAGAGAAATACATGACTGGTATCGGTTGGATATTAGCAGGACATGCTTAGCATGGGCCTATAGGCCTATACCAATGCTGCTTTATCCTTATGCTCAGATTCGAAATCCCCTCATCTTCACAGCTAGGTCCAGAAGCTAGATTCTCTGTAGGTTTTATAACCAGCTGTACATAAGCTTCTTTAGGCGAAAAGCTTAACACGAAAAGCCTTGATGTCTGTGTTACATCGCGGCGGGAATCCCAGGATCTCATCCCGTGTACATCAAAGAAGTGGACTTCAAAGAAAGAAGAGCTCTAACTGCCCCAGCAAGATCAAGTAAGATCGGATAATTAATCCACGGACAAGATCTAATAATCAGGGAGTAAGATCAAATAAACTTATTACAGGATCAAAATAACGTAGGATAAGATCAAACATCGAAGATCAAACAAACATCGATCAAGATCACATAGCAGACAAGAACAAACAATTGTAGGACTTGGTCAAAAAAGCGTCGAGTAATATCAAAAACATCTGAGAAGATCAAACATCGGACAAAATTAAACACGTGTAGGACAAGATCATGTAAACATCTGAGATCAAACAAACATCTGAGATCAAGCCAATATCTGTGATCAAATAACCACCAGACATTAGTATACACTTCTGATCTATTTATTCAACTGAAGTCCTCTTTTCTTTTTATTATTTCCACGTATCATCATACATCTGAAAACTTGGTATCTGATTCCTTTGCTATTTCTGTATCATACAGTTGGATCTTTCCAATGATTCAATCGTCTGTCCCTCGATTAGTGGACGGATGATCGAGCCTCCAGGTACTCATAGCAATGAATTACTTACACAGGTTTCCTTCTTTACATAACTAAATCAATACAAATACCATAATGTTCTGTTTAATGCATCTTGCAACCAGTACAGACGCTCAGTTTCCATCGTATGAGAGTCTCACCAACACCAGTTTAGCGTATTTCAGTTGAACATATTTTCCTTCTCTTCACAACTCAGCCACGAACGACATTTCGTGGCTATTATCAAGTCACTTGATAATTATCCAGTGATAAATATCCAGGAGGAATAAAAACGTCGTGTAATGACATATCTCCTTTGTGCGGATTGTGAATTTATTTTTTCCATGGACATAAATGGTGTAAAATTCTGACATGAAGCCCACTGTGTGAGCGAAACGTAGTCAATAAATGATCATATTATACTGCATTTGTGTCTGTTTATCCATTTTTTTTTCCAGCCACGGTAACGTTACTTATAACTCCTCCTTTCGTTCTCTAACAATACCCATCGGG